TGTGTGTGTGTGTGTGTGTGTGTGTGTGTGTATATATATATATATATATATATATATATATATATAGAGAGAGAGAGAGAGAGAGAGAGAGAGAGACCTTGTCTCAAAAGAGGGGGAGGGGTGGCTGTAAGATAGGGGCCGTAGCCAGGCATGGCCTCTCCTGCTCTTAACTCTAGTCCATAAGATATGCAGGCACCCTTTAGGTACCCTTTCAAAACATTTACCTGTTACAAAGTGAAGATAAGGAACAGCACAAGATTATTTGTAATTTGTTTTGTTTTCTTAGCTATTGAATTTTCAGTCAGATCAATTTGTGATCCAAATACAAAAGGAAACCCTTCTACCTAGCCCAATATACTCCCCAAAAGCACCCTCTGGAAAAAAGCTAACAGAAACAGCTTCTTAACATGTCCAGAGATCAAGTCCAGCTCACGACCCGTGAACCGCTTTCATATCTTCTAAAACTTTTGTCACAATGACCGATCTTAATTCTATTAAGATCTATTTTTGTTCTATTGCTAGCCAGGACAAACTACAAGAATCATCCCAGACTTTAAAAATATGGTTCCCTCCTTAACAGGCAGAGGTCATACCAAGTATTAGAAAGAATGATTTAATATCAAGTATCTGGAAATTCAGATCATAATTGTTACAATGTCTTCTGACAACTGATTGATATTTAAAACTCTAAGGAGCTATTTGTTTAATCATATAAAACCGGGAAGCAGAGGCAGTTGGTCCTCTGTGAGTACCAGGCCAGCCATTCCTACACAAGAAACCCTGTCTCAAACAGCTGAGAATGGAGCAAGGGAGGGATGGACTGAGATATTATATTGCTAAAATCTGTATGTTCTAAAGATGGTGTAGCCCTGGCTGGCCTGAACTCACTATGTAGACCAGGGTGGCTTTGGAACTAACAGAGATCCGCCTGCCTCTGCTTCCTGAATGCTGGGATTAAAGGTGTGCGCCACCACATTCAGCAACCTAATTTCGAGATTTTAATTAGCCAGTGTTGCTTGGATAATAAATTTGAACCTTGGCTACATAAAAAATAAAAAATTCCAAGGCCTTGATTTTCTTGTCATTTAGTCTTGGCTAAAATTAGTTGACTTTAGAGATCACTAATCACAACTACCACTTTACTGAAGAAGATTAAAGCCGGGCGGTGGTGGCAGTGCACGCCTTTAATCCCAGCACTCTGGAGGCAGAGGCAGGCGGATCTCTGGGAGTTCGAGGCCAGCCTGGTCTACAAGAGCTAGTTCCGGGACGGGCACCAAAGCTACAGAGAAACCCTGTCTCGAAAAAAAAAAAAAAGAAGAAGAAGATTAAAAGGGGAAAATATTACAAGCACACAGTAAGCCACCACAGTCTGTACACAGAACAGAGCAAAAAGCTGGAAAACAGAGCCAGTGAGACAGTTCAGCCTGCCCAGGCTCTCACCTCCACCTGATGGCCTGAGCTTGATCTACATGGTAGAAAGATAAAATCGACTCCCATAAATTGTCCGCCAACCCCCACCCAACACGCATGTACCACCCCATGGCATTAGCACTGCCTCCCAACAAATAAATTGTATCAAAATTAAAATTTTTAAAATCTGGACAACGTTTGCATGTCAAGTATGAACTATGCATCTATGTGTCTCTGTGTGTGTGTATGTTGTGTGATGTTTTACTCTTTTGGCTTTGGGGGGGCAACCACCCAGCTCCCAAATAAATCACATATGAGGCTTATTCTTAGTTTGGTTTGTTTCTTGTCAGCTTTTCTGAAATTATCCCAAATACCTTTTCCCTCTGGGATTTTTCCTTTTCTTACTCCTGTGTATCTTACTTTCACTCTTCCTCTGTGGCTGGCTGGGTTGCTGGGTCCTCAAGTCTTCCTCCCCCTGCTTTCTTGCTCCTCTTTTTCCTCATTTCTCTGCCCCCCATCCTTGCTCCTGCCTTGCTATTGGCCATTCAGCGCATTGATTAGGACCATCAGGTGTTTTAGACAGGCAAAGAATCACAGCTTCACAGTCTTAAACAAAGGCACCACAAACAAAAGTTAACATACCTTAAAGTAATACATATAGTATTTTATATATGTATAAATATATTTATATGCATAACATACCTTAAAGTAATACATATATATGTACTAGTTTTGAATGAGATTACCTATTTAGCCAAGTTTCTTCTTATTCCATATCTTGTCATATAAAACTGAGCAATTTGTAAGAGTTCTTTCAATGTTAGCTACAACGATTTGCTATAACTTTCAACCTTGAAATTGTACGTGTAATTTTTTTAGTATACGAACTAAACCGATTCAGTTTGTTTACACTAAATTGAATTTAAATTTCTTTACCAAACAACCTATGCCACTGAGCTTATTAACTCAGTAGTTTTGAAAAAATATCTTTAGAATTCTTTTGGAGTTAGTATAAAGCGAATGTTTTCCTGTTTGCATCATCTGTGGTACAAGTAAAATAATGATTATTGCAGACACTATTTTTTTTTTCTCCCGCGTGACAGGCGGGGATACTCACCACTATACTAACGAGGATGCAGACACTATTTTTAACCATCACACAGGATCTTGGCTTTCCGTGCTATCCGCTTGGCAGCTGATGGTCAAAGCATATGGAGCTGCCATTACTGGCAACATAAAATACCTTCACTTGTGACTTCAAACTTTTCATTGCCTAATTCATTTTAAATATTGTGTTTCAAGAATAATACACTTAAAGGGCTGTCACAGGATATTTATCCTCGTCTCAAACTGGGTATTCGGAGTTTCCAGTTTGTGAAGGCTCAGGAGGGAAACTTTTCTGAGGTCTCTGCATCAGGGAAAGAGAGGCCTCTCTTGATCCACTCGTTCATCTTTATCTCAAAAACAAACAAACAAAAAGCACAATCAAATCTGCTGGGTTTTTTTTTTTTTGGTTGCATTGTTCTGGTTTCCTGTTCCCCCCCTTTCAGATTTCACACAGTTTCCTCTCACTTATTTTTATCTTGTGTAAAAATAAGTATTTTGTGTGCGCTGATTCAAATTCTCTATGGGATAACACAGGCATAAATAAGAACAAATACATTTCATGCGACAGAAAGGTGCAGTGCTCCCTTTTTGACCCTGAATGTGGAGGGCTGCTTTCCCACCACACAAGCCCACCCTTCAAGTTTACCTGGCTATTCTGGGGACGGTCCGGTGGACGGCTCTCAATCCATGAATGCTTCACAATGGCCCAGTCTCAGAGTCTCATGTAGTCAGGGTTTGACTACATGACCAACATAAATCCATGACAGTAAACAAGTACTAAGACACCAATAGAACATTTGAAGAGATTTTGAGTCATCGAAGCCAAAAGTATGTGCCCACCAAAACAAGTGCCAAGAAGCTTTGAAAGACAGAACTGTTCCTCAGCTTCTTCCTTTGCAGGCCGCACACACACAGGCTCTGTCCCTGGAGCAGGCAAGTCTGGGCTTTCCTTATGGCCCCTAAATAAGAGCCCTTTGTATGTGGGATACAAGAAAATGCATATACTCCCTGTTCTGGTAAGGTGTTAATTTCATTTTTTCACTTATTGACTATAAGAAGTGCATTTCTCAGAACTGGACTGTGTCTGGAGCCACATGTCACTTGAAACTTGTTCTGTTGTCATTTTTCTGTCACTGCACATACAGAAGCCATGTATTAACCTGGGTCTTCCCATTTTTCTTAAATTTTCATTTTATTTTATGTTTTGCCTGCATGTATGTCTCTACACCATGCGCGTGCCTGGTGCCTACGGCCAGAAGAGGGCGTCGGACTCCCCAGACTTACGGACAGTCGTGTATAGTGACGCAGATGGGCGAATCAACCCAGGTGCTCTATAGAACTCTGTACTTAACCACTGAGCCCTCTCTCCAGTCCTTATCTGGTTTTTCTGCTGCAAATCTCGGCAGCACTCTAGAAAAAACTTTACCAGTCTACCTTAAAATGGTAACTTAATTTCTACCTTCAGAACAAGATTGGAACTCAGGCTGTGAAACATTAGCCAATCACTTCTCTTGATTCCTGCTCAATATCCTGTGTCTTGTTAAGCGGTTCAAAACCTCTTAGATTTGATAATCCTCTCGACAATCCCGTAAAAAGCTTTACAAACATTTCTGGGGTGTCAAATGCAAAAACTTCATCCTCTTCCATCTACAGAGAAGGACACTGAGTTGTTGCAAAGAATGCCAGTTCACCTACTTTGGAAGGTTGGAGCCAGAACCACACCAAGGTCCCCAGCTTTGTTTTAGCATCTGCAGAACTCCTGGTCCCGTTAAAGTTGCAAATACTGTGGTGACCCGAGACCACCGGACTTCGTAGGAATTGGGGGTTTTCAGAAATGGCTAGGGAAACCCCGGTGAAAGACAGGTTGTGCAGGTCAGGTGTGCGGTCCAGCCTCACAACCGGTACCACGGGGAGCAGTCGGTAAAACAGGAAGGAGCAGTCGGGTGTGCCGGTCTTTAGTTAACCCGGCACTCCCCCACCTCCGACCCGGGCGGCCTCAGTTTACCTCGACCGTGTAGAACTAGGAGGGCAGCGAGCTGCGTACTAGCCCCCCTTCTCTCGTCCCGCAGGCGACCGGACGAATCCCGGCCGGGCCTGCGCGGGTCAGAAGCCGCACGAACGCCCCCGGGCGCCCCGCAAGCCTCTGGGAGGCGGGGCGCGACGGCGGCGAGGGTGTCGTGCGCTCGGCAGGCCTCAGGGCGGCAGTCTGGGCCCGCGGCCTGCGCTCTCGGGCGGGCCGGCTCAGTCCACGCCGGCCGCGAACGTGTCTCCCGGTGACGCAGCCGCGGGTGGGGAACGTGGTGCGGCGGCGGCGGCAGGGCCAGCGGCAGCGGCAGCGGCAGCGGGGACTGTGCGCACTGCCGTCTTCGAGAGGACGCGGGTCTCCGCCGCGGCGCTCGCTCGCTCGGCCGGGCACGGGCGGCCCCTCGGGTGCGGACGGCTCGGGGCCTGGCGGGGCCGGGGAGGCCCGGAGGCCGCCGGGGTCGCGGCCCGTGACGCCCCCGCGCTCGCTCTCGCGGGTGCAGGCGCAGCTGCGCGCCGAGTCTCCATGTTGGGAAGCGCCGCGCGTCCTCGTTAGCGGGATCCGGGCGCCGCGGGCAGAGCCCCGGGCTGGGCGCTGCGAAGATGGAGGCCCCGCTGCGGCCTGCCGCCGACATCCTGAGGCGGAACCCGCAGCACGACTACGAGCTGGTGCAGAGGGTCGGCAGCGGCACCTACGGGGATGTGTACAAGGTGAGGCCCGGGCCGGGCCTGCGAACGGGGGGCGCCCCCGGCATGCGCCGGACCGCAGCGTCCGGCCGGGAAGCGGCCCGGACCCCGCGGCACCGTTCCGAGCACCCTGGGTTCCCCGCTGGTTCTAGTGCTGCTGACGGGCAAAGCTAACAACAGCACCTTCCAAACCACCGCTGAGCTTTTTTGTGGTTTTTTAAGGCGTGTGTTTGGTATTGAAGTGAGTCTGAGGGATGTTCTGGTGTTAGCTGGAAAAAATGCTTCGCGGAAGGCGGTAGACGGGAGAGAATATTGCAAATCCAGACGCTTGCATTCTAAATTATTGTTATGAGCGAGCTTGACTTTAAAAAGCTCTGTGGAAGCTGGCTTTGAAGTGTGAACTGTAAGCATTTTTCTCGAGTAAAATGATACGTGTGTAACATGACGGCCTGTAGGAAGATGTTTTTAGAGACCGGTGAGTTGGCTCAGCAGGTAAAGGCGCTTGCTGCCAAGCCTTTGGATACCGGATCGGTCCCCGGATTCTCCCGGTAGAAGCAAGTCGTCCTCTGACCTCTACACGCAAGTGTCGCCCCCTACCCCCGCCAACACACTCACACACAAACCTAGTAAATAAGTGAAATGTAATTAAATTTAAACAAATTTAGAGAAAGATGTTTTTCACCTGGCAGAAGTTTAGGCGTTTGTGCCTGGTTGGTAATAAGAAATATAATTACTTACTGGGTTTTCCTACTCCTGTAATTCCTCTCGGGGATTTTATACCATTCCATAATCCCGAGTGGATAGGAGCTGCTGTCATTTTAGTGCGCTTTTATATCAAGATAAATAATAATAAATTTGTAACTTGCCATTACAACAACAAAAGCCATGCCATTGCGAAGCACACCAGTTTCTTAAGTCTCCCATGTTTTTGAAGGGCTCAGAAGGAAAAGACTGTCCAAGATTCCCTTATGACTTTTGTTCTTTGTCCCCAAAGGGCAGAATTATGGCAGTTCCTGATGGGTATTAAGGACAAGTCGCTTTTTGCAGCACTTTAATATTTTGACCTGTGTATCAATATCAATCAGTTTGTTCCAAACAGCAATCTACACGTAGCCCAAATGGCCTTGTTTCGTGAGTGAGTAATGGCTTGCTTCCCCTGAGGTCCGTTGACTTGCACAGGTGGTCCTAAGCAAGGAAAGCATCTTTCTTCTCTACATATTTCTGACTAAGTTTGTTAGCAGTACCTCAGAGTGTTATCAGGATACCACTAGCTCTGGATTCTGAGGTGAGGGCTCTCCGGCTAGCCTTTTTACCCCTTAAAACTAGGCCCTGAGTCTAACCAAACACTGTTCTAGGTACTAGACTGCCCCAACAGTGAGTGGGACCCTGACTCTGGCCTTGAATACCTTTGATGTGCGCGACGACAATGAAATCTCCTTCCTCGTGTGAGTTAGGGTAGTTGTGCACACTGGGTTAACTGGACATTTAGGAAACGCTTGCTCTTTGAGAATAGAAACTCCTGTTTGCTTTCTCAGGCCCATTCCTAAGTCATCTTTGTGTGTGATTCACGGTTGGTTAGACCAGTTCAGTTTGTGGTCATTTTACTTCTTGCTTCTCCCCACCCTTCCCCGACTACAGAAAATTTAAAGGGAATATAATCCCCACACCGATCTTGCCCAGACTTCGGCGTTTTTCCTTACAGAGTAGCAGCCAGGGCAACTCTTCTGGAAGGCTTGTATTGCTGTGTTAAAAGGTCAGCTGCCTGCCTGCTTCTTCTCCAGCTGCCTCCTGACCTGCAGCTCCTTCCACAACTCATCGGACAGTCGGAGGCTAAATACTTCACACACACACACACACACACACACACAGCCCCGCCTCCCACCTTTCCGAGCCATGCTCACGTCGTATGTATTCTCCTCATTGACTAGGCCAGCCTCTGCATCCCGAACAGCCATTAGACATCCCCCTACCCCTTCTTCTGTTTGGTTGTGCTCTAGTTACCTGGGATCACCTGGCTTTCCCACTCCACCTGTTGCCACCACTGCTGCCCCGGAAAGCTTTATTCCTTACTAGTCAGCCCCAGCCCCTCACCCTGACCCCTGGCCTCACTCACCACTCCTCTCCCATTCTGCTCAAACCACACTGGCTTGCTCGCTGTTCCTTAAACAATAAACATCTTCCGACTTTGGAGTCTTTGTTCTTGGTGCTTCCTCTGCTCAGTATCTTTCCCCAGACGGTAAGTGTCTTGCTTCCTTCCTTTTGGAATACCAGACCATCTTTGTACTTACTTCTGCCAAACACAGGGTTTGACTCTTTTTCTGGTCTGTTTTGATCCAATGAGACACTTCACACAGACAGGGATCCCAACAGCCCCCCCCCTCCCCCCGCTTTTGATGTAGTTTAACACCTAGAATTTGACCAGACACAGAGTTCATGATCCCTAAAAGGTTGACAAAGGAACAAAGGAATAAATGACTCTAGGCAACAGAGTCTCAGTACTTAATTTTGACCTCACAACAGTGTGCACATAACCCTCTGTGTATTCCTGCACTGCTCTTTATGATAGCTGCATGTCTGTTTTCATTACAAATTTCCATAACTTGCGTTTCCTGGGAAAGCATCTCTGAAGAGCTGTTTCATAGCATGTTTATCATCAGTGATGTAAGCCCTGTGGAATTTTGGGAGTTTATACTTATTCCTTCATATGCCTAGACCATGAAACTGTGGGATCTTTTAAGGCAGAGTGAGTGTGTTGTGATCGTGTATTTTTAAGAAACTGAAAATCCTTGGGAGCTCTAAAAGTGTTTTCCATTCACGAGGGAGGCTAGTAAAATAATCACAGTGAGAAATAGTGTAGTCTCTTCTACCACGTACCTCGCCCTAGGTTCTCTTTATCCCTGAGCTATAGTATGAAGCAATAACTTTAAAAAGCCTTGAGGTTCTTTGTGAATCCCAGTCACACCCTGCAAACACACAGTGTTTGTTGGAGCCTCCTGCCTTTCCTAGAACTCCCCAGGAGGTGCTTACTCCATCCTAAATGGCTGTTCCCTGCTTGAAAGAAGAGGAATGTAAAGATTCAGATAGTTGCAGGAAGTCTTTGAGGGCAGAGCAGGAAGTGGTGCTGGGCAAACGGCAGAGAGGAGAGTGTGGTGGATGATGGATGAAGGACCAGGTTCCAGTGAGGCGGATCCCGTCTGTAAAATTGAACACTTGCTAACAGGAAGGGGAGCTCTGACGATAAAGAGTCTCCCACCTTCTGTCCACAAGTGATTTGGGCACACAGAGCGGTCGTCGGGTCATTATCGTGGCTCACAGCTAGCAGCAGGAGCCTTCTACCCTTTTATACCAAAATTGCTTCCAGTTTACTTTCCAGAGAAATTCTAAGATCTTTCCAGCTTTTATAGGCTGTAAATTTGGATTAGAGTACCCTTGTACGTCTTTTTTTTTTTTTTTTTTTTTTTTCGAGACAGGGTTTCTCCATAGCTTTTGGTTCCTGTCCTGGAACTAGCTCTGTAGACCAGGCTGGCCTCGAACTCACAGAGATCCGCCTGCCTCTGCCTCCCAAGTTCTGGGATTAAAGACGTGTGCCACCACCACCCGGCACCCATGTACTTCTTTTAAACTCTTATTAACTCTTTGGTTTATGTAAGTGTGACATGTTTTGTTCCAGGACATCTATACTACAGCAAACAGACTGGTTCTTAGGAAATATTTGTTTAGTGATGTTAGTGGTAGTAGATTGCCTAGATATAATAAATACTGCTAATAATATTGCGCGCCCCCCCCCCCAGCCTTTTAAATGTTTTTAAATGCATCTGTTTGTCACTTACATTGTGTTGTAATGCCAGCCATGATATGGCATGTGTTTGGAATGACCAATCATTTTCTCTAAAATTACTATTTTTAAAAGGATTCATTGAATGAATCTTTAAGTTTTACATTAGTTATTTTCAATTTTTAAGTTTCTTTTGCCATTATAAATGACATAATTTGTGTAGAAATCTTTGTCATATGGCCTTACCATTTCTGTGGATTCTTCTGGAAGGAAGCTAGATGTGTTAGATCTGCAGTAATGAATCCCTCTTTTCTTCAAGGCCTCCCCCAAGTCAACAGGCTCTTAGAATGGCTTTAGGCATTTTGAAACTACGCTTGGATCCCATTGTAAACAATCAGCTTAGTCCATCCTAGTGATAGAGCTGCCGACTCTGTGCCAGGGTCTGCAGATGCAGGGCCTGGGGAGGAGAAAGTACACTGTCAAAAGAAGTGTGTAATTTAGTCAGGAAAAGAGACATGCAATCATCATAATTTGGTAAGTGCCATAATAGATATGGAAGAAATACTCAACTCTGTCTTTTATAGGGATGGGGCAGGGTGGTCAGCCGGGGAAGAGTAACAAAAGAAGGATCAGTAACTGGAGTTTTTGGGTTGTTTTTTGTTGTTGTTGTTGTTGTTATTGTGTTTTCTGTTATTAGATTGACAAGGTAGGACAAGAGATTAGAGATTGTGGGACTAGTATATGCAAGCATCTAGGAACCAAGGGAGGCAGGAGCCTTGATGAGGCTTAATGGCTATGCATTTTCTTCCCAGGTCCCTTGCAACAAGCCTAGAAGGGCTGGTAATGGAGGGTGGGAAAAGACAAGATGGCAGATCTTTTCTGTTGACGTGAAGGAATTTGTATTTTTCTGTAGTCTGAAGAAGTATTTTAGGACTTTTTTTGGTATCCGGGTAGATAACAGAGTGGCGGAATGCGGAGAATAACAGCATGGGAGTTGATGTGACTTTGGATACTGGTGTAGGAGATCAAAAAGTGGTGAATTTGAGTTCAGATTTATATGATTTTTTTTTTTAAATACACATCATCTGTAAGAGAAAGAGAAGGTAATTGATGCTATTTATGTGTTTTTGTTTGCTTGGTTTTGCTTTTGTTTGTCTTGGGTGGCAGTTTTTATACTATTAACAGGAAATACAGATCTTGTGGGATCTGAATTTTGTGTCTGGCGACAGTCAGACATTGTGTAAGGAAA